GATGAACACTTTCTCAGAACATTTCCATCAAATAAAGTGCATAAAAGCCCGAGGTGCACAATTTCTAGTCACTCAACACTGATAAGCTGAAAATTACATAATTCTTTCTGGTGGATTTATTTTTTTTTTTTCTTATTTTTAGGGCTTTTACAGAAAGAATCTGCCTGTGTTCTGTTCCTACCTATTAATATTTCACACCAAAATGCACTTTCAGAGCTTTCTGGGCTGACATGCACATCGGAATGATTTCATTGTTCTTCAAATGCAATGCACTCTCACACTGAAAGGAAATACAAGTGTCTGCATTTAGGAATGTAAATTGTGAAAAAGGGTTTTAAATGCTTGTGGACAGCAGGATGGGTGATGAGGGAGGGCAGGACCACAGCTCTCTGCTTTGTTGTATCCCCATTTTCAAGGTTCCACAGCATTAGGTCTTTATCTCTGCAGGGTCGCACTTAAATTTTCCAGGAGACTTTTGTCTTTCAGCAAGACTAGTTTGACACTCAGACTAGTCAGAAGTGCTTCTAATAGATTGAAATTCCATTAAAAATCCCTTTTTGAACAGTTCCAACATCACTGATTGCCAAAATATTGCCATTTTGCACCAGCTTGTGTTCTCTTTTCTCTTTGGTGTGTCCTTTAGTGTGTCATTGCAGGCTTGATGGAATGTTCTGTTACATCCTAAGGTAAATGGCTAAAAACTGCTTTCAGTAATTAATATTACATTAAAAATCCCTATGACTTGAGCAGCCAGATGGAAATATGCCATTCCACAATGTCTGCCTTTCAAAATGAGTAAGAGTCACTGGAGCTGGGATCTTCTGGGAAACTTGGTTTGTGCCAGGAGCGCACCTGCCTTCCCGAATGCAGAAGAAAGGAGCAACCAGAAAGTGTTGCCTGCGTACAGAACTTGAGCAGCTGTCACCACAGAAAAGTGCTCTGTAGGCTTCTCCAAGATTTTTAAAGACCCAAACCCCAAAGAAGTTGTGATGTCTGTGCTTGTTGTAGTTGGGACACTCATAGTTTAAATGGAGACAATGCAAAACAACACACTCCATTTTCAGAAGGCTTCAAATCCCTCTTTTGTTTTAGTATGCATGCTTTTTATACATTCTTACAAAGCTCATAAGTTTACACTTTACTCATTGGATAGAAGACACAAACTAAGAGCTTACTGGAATGGGCAGTTGCAGGTTTCTCTTATTTATTCTCTTATTCATCCTTCTTTCTTTCTTGGTTTCTATGTCAGCGACCTTGGTAGGAAATTCTTTCAGGGCTAAACATGGATCTTCTTATCAAACATGGATCCTTTTATCCAACTCCCTGGCTCACAGCAGTCACTGTAAAACCTCTTCCACATGTGCTTTTGCTGCCAAATTGGTTTGTAACAAGACTTATCCCACCTCTGCTTTGGGTAGGACACTGGTCTAGTTTGAGTAGTTTCATTGACCTTTCTTGCACTGAAGAAGACCTTCTGTGGCTCCTCATTTTACTGTGCCTGCATATAACCCAAAATTAGGACAACAAATTGCCTGTATTATTATGGCAGATAACTATCAGTGTTTCTCCTCAGGTTTGTTGTGCTCATGCTTGTTATGTTCCAGATGCTTCTGAGGATGAGGGGTGCTCAAACGTTACCTTATAGCTCCCATTTAGGTTATGAATCCAAAATCCCAACATGAAGAGAGTGAGGAGCCACACACCAGCTATTATCCCTGTTCAAGGTGGGCTTCTGCAGCTTGGATAAGAAGGGGAGAAGTGGATTTTTGTACATGCAATAAAGGGGTGCATAAGGCAGGTCATGCACAGCAAATGAAATTCTGTGTGCAGCTGCATCAGTGCCAGTTTCCTGCTCAGAAACAGGAGCAGTGTTAACAGCTTGCAGCCAAAGCAAGAGAAATCCAGAGGGATTTTGGGGATACAAATGTTCTTTGTGAATCTCCATGTAACGCTTTGTTTGAGCTGCTGTAATTAGTAAGTACCCTGGCTGTTCTACGACAGTGTTTGACATTTTGTTCTCTCTGGCAATCCATGGGGAGAGCTGAGATGAGGGAATGTTCATGATTAGCACTCCACAGAGTAAGTATTAGTTTTTTTGCCTTTTTGATCCATCATACTTTTAACTATTGGATTCTGTGGAGCTTAAGCTTTGAAACCCCACACTAAAACCTCCAGTAAGACATTGCCTTGCAGCAGTGGGATAATAATTATAGAATCTCAGAACGGTGTGGGTTGGAAGGGACCTCAAAGCCCATCCTCTTCCTCCCTCTGCCATGAGCAGGGACAGCTTCCACTATCCCAGGTTGTTACATGTGCCCAAAGCTTAGCCAAAAAACTATTGCTCCTAAAAAGGGATTTCATGGCCAGTAATGGTGATCTCAATGCTGTCAGACAGTGATGGTCTCCTTGGCATTAAAAATGTTGCTTGGTGTGGTGAACTGAGACGGAATTAATTTTAAAAAGAGACACAACCCCCCCCCCCATCCCCCATCCCCAAAATGAACTCTACAGGAGAGTTCATATATATTACACAGGGATATAGTGATAGGACAAGGAGAAGTGGTTTTAAAATGAGAGAAGAGAGATTTAGATGAGATGATTGCAAGAAGTTCCTCCCTGTGAGGGTGCTGAGGCCCTGGCACAGGGTGCCCAGAGCAGCTGTGGCTGCCCCTGGATCCCTGGGAGTGTCCAAGGCCCAGGGGCTTGGAGCAGCCTGTGCTAGTGGAAGGTGTCCCTGCCCATGGCAGGGGTGGAATGGGATGGGCTCTTAGGTCCCTTTCAATCCCATTCTGGGATTCTGTGGTGTCACTTGATTTCACGGTACATTGCCAATTCTGCCTTCGCCCATAAAAAGCCCCTCTCAAGCTTTCACGGGTTCTGGGAGAGAAAGTGATTTCCTGCCAGCCACTGAATTAAATCCCATTGTACCTATTTTTGTGCACAGTGGGGGCTGCAGGGCTCAAATACCTGTAGCTCTTCAGGCACCATTTTCCTTAAAGCTGCTCTCTGGCTTTATACTTCATTTTAAACAATCACAAGGCTTATTCAGAAGCAGAAGAAGGGTTTTTCTTCACAGTCTCTTCACTGCTCTCAATACAATGAATGGAAAATATTTTTGTATCTATGTGAATTCCCACTTCTGAGTAATACAAGCGCTCACTGCATTTTGATTCCTGCGTAGAGAACAAGGATTCTGATCCTGAGGATGTAAACTTCTGCTTGCTCACCAGAAAGACACAGAGCTCTTTGGCCAGGCTCCATAACAACACCTTTTGGTTGTTCACAAATAGCTCTGTCTGGTCCAAACCCAGAGTTAGATAACTTCTGTGAATTGGAAGAGACAGGACGTGCTGTGCAGTTTGGCAAGTTCTCACTGAAATCTCTGCTGGAGTCAGCCCTGATTTTGCTGGAATACAGTAAATATTAACATATTCCTGTAGATTTGGAATACCTGTATGTGTATTCTCAAAACAAGAAAGCAGGAATGCTGGGAAGTGTGAATTGTTGCCCACAGAGGTACTCTTGTCTTTGGGAAATATTGATTATCTTTACCCTAAAAACTTTCAGAGAGCATTTTTGACTTATGTTTGGTATACCAAATTTCTTACTTGAGAACAGTAAAGTGGCCCCAAAAAAATCTGTCTCTTTTCCAGGTTTGATCTACCTAAGAGGACCAGGCAGAAAGGTTTGTTCTCAACTGTGAACTAACATTTTTAAAGGATTTAAACATTTTATTTTTAAATATTTATGTACTGAGTAGTTATGTACTGAGTAGTTATTTTTCTTGAGAGTTGCCAGTCAGGCAGGTTTCACAGGGCAGTGATTAAGGGACTATCTGCAGGTATGAACCACAGATTTGTGTTCAGTACTTCAGGAATGTTGCTGCACGACCATGGTGCTGCTGTCCATGAAAACTCTGCTTTAGGGAAACAGAAAATGCACAGGAGCTATTTAGCTCCTTCTCAGGTTTAGCTGCAAATCCTTGAAATCTGTTTTCTTTATGTTCCTTAGGAGCAGTGGGTCACTGGATGTGTTCTGTCTTTCTCAACACACACATTTCAGGGAGCTGTCAGATGCTGCCATATGTCGTGAAGCCCCTAAATGAAAATGCAGATGTGTATATGCCAAGGTAATGTGAGATTTAAGACAAATAAACCTACCTTCCATCACAAAAGGAAAGATGACTCTGAAACTTAAAATCCTGAAATTATTTAGGTTTGAAGGGACCTCAAAACTCAAATTCCCCCCCCATTTTCCATGGGCAGGAACCCTTCCACTAGACCAGGTTGCTCCAAGCCAAATCCAACCTGGCCTAAACTGGTCCAAACTGGGTGATTAAAAGGCAGTAGAAGGTTCTCCAGCAGCAAATGGGATAGCACTGCTTTCTGCAAGGAAGGTGGCCTGGGAGCAATCCATCTCTCCATGGAGCCACTGAATATCACAGCAATAGAAATTGCTTTTCCCTGAGTGAAAAGCTTTAAGTAAAAGGCAGGAGAAAACCAGATTGCTCCACGCTGAATGTCAAACAAAAAAATTAAGTAACTGACTCTGATTTTTGTTGAGTAAAAACACTTTTAAAATCCTCTATTGCACTCAACAGTGCTTCAACAACCTTGTAGTAAATTAGATTAATAGGTGTTGATTTTACAGCTGTTTCATTATCATCTGCTACATTAAAATCTAATTATTTATTCCCACAAGCGTTTTCTCTCACTCCTGGCTTTTTACTGGTGCTGCTGGTGCCGCAAAGGAGCTGTGGTGTTATCTGTTCCTGCAGCCCATGGGCAGCAGCAGGTGGGACAGCAAACATCTCTGTCACAAATAACCTGGGCTGCCATTCCTGCACCCTGCTGCAATTAAGCCTTCATTAGGAGCTGGTGAATAACTCTGCTGTTTCTCTCTCCTGGCCACGATCCCTCCCTCCCTTAAAAGGAAGGCATGACACAGATAAAGGTGGGGCTTTGCCCGCTCGGGTATTTCAGAGCCTTCCTCTTGGAGTTATGATTGCAGAAGGAGTCCTGGGGCACGTTCTGGAGACTTTGGTAAGTCTGTGATACTGGTTACATGCTGGGTTTTCTGTCCTTAAGTGAATATATTTTGAATTTACTGAAGTTGTGCAAGCAGGTGCAGCTGAAGTTCAGCGGCATCCTCTGCTGCTGGAGAGGTTTCACCTAAAGCAAATTTTGGGAATTGTTAATGCAAATAGTGGTTGCATGTATCTGGCAGCTTCCTGAGAATGGAGATGGTCTTGCTTTTTCAATTGCAGGCAAGCTTCTAAAAGCCTCTTAATTTGTTTCTTTAGAACTAGATATTTTTAATTTTTTTTCTCTTTTTTTTAAAAGTCACCTCAGGCTGAAGATTTCCTTGGATATGCTCCTTGAAATTATAGTTATAGTTATAGTCTTACACTTTAGAGGATTATTGTGAAGTCTATCCAATGGTTATCTTTCTCAATATATGTTGTTTTAAGAAAGTTATGCTTCAATGCCTTGAATACTTACATATTGAATTTAATGGGCTGGAAATGTGTTAGCAAAAGAATAGTTTGCCTGTTCCGTGGACTGCAGCTGTGTGGCATCTTTTAAAATATGTATAATTGCTGCGTTATCTCCGACACTCACAGAGTTAATGAGCGTCGCTCACTGGTATCAGCTAAACACTGTGCTATCAGTGAGGCTTTTCAGAATTTAAAATTAAATACCACGTTTTCAGGGGGCTCTTTGCACTCTCACTAACTTTCTTCAGTTTGTTTGTTCGTTCTTATAAATTATTTATGAAAGCAGTGAGGCAAACTTGAAATCCTGTAGTGTTTGGAATTAATAATTTAATGCCCTTGTTTCCTTTTAATCTCCTCTCTGTGCAGTTATGTCCATAGTCACTTTTCTGGTGTTAAATTTTATTAAACAAATCAACAATGAAAGTAAAACTGTCAATAAATAAGTTGCGTAGATCCAGACCTAAATAAAATTACCCTCCTTGGGGCTTTTATCTCGAATTACAGCTTTAAAACCATCTTTACACTGAACATTAGTCATATGAAATATTAAGAATTGCTCTCTGGGTTATTAGGAAATACATCTCCCAGTGCAGAGTTGCCTGTGTCCTTAAACCTCAGATTTCCATCAGCTTCCAAGTTGCAGTTTCATGGAGTTTCTGTCTGCCTGTGACTGTCAAGGTGTTTTTTCATGTCTTTATGATGTGTGCCAGCTCTGAGCCCCTCTGTATTTTGTGTACAGCTTCCCTCTTTTCCTTACTATCCGATTTGACTAGCCTGCCCCGTCAGAGATAACATTTTTGGAATAAACATTCCCACGTTATCGATTACTGTTTCTGACCAACTTTGGGTCAGGTTTGGGTCCCTTATTCTCTGTCAGCTGGGCTTTCCTCCTCGGTCACTTTTGGATCACGGATGGAGAGATCACACAACAAAGGGGTTCAGAGTAAAGGGGGTGGTAGCTGTTAAAAACAGGACCAGACTCCTGGTACTAAAAGTGATTTCAGCATTTATTATAATAAAAAGAAAAGGCCTAAAGCAAGGGGCCCCGCAGGCCGAGCAGAAGCGTTCCCATTGAGGATGCTGCAGCGCCAGCACTGGGTCGTCTTCAGCAGCGTTGTCCCCGATGTTCCAGGTGGAATGGCACAGCTTCCCTGGCCAGATGTCCCTTTTATCCTGTTTTTTTGTCCATTTGGATTGGTTTCTTTTTGGATCCTTCATTTGCACGAATGTTTAAGGCTCTTGGTTGGCCCATGACAGTTCTGTCCAGGCTGGCTCCTTTCACCTGGGGGAGGGGTGCACTTTACTTGTGTGTAATACAGTATGTATTTCTTATAAATGCCCATTTAACTCCTTTTACAAGATAACAACCAAACTAACAGTACACACTTAACAATTATCAATGATTCTGCAACAGTTTCTAACCTATTTTTAACGGTAGTTATGGTTCCTCTGGGCTGAGAATCCCCAATAGCCATGGCGTGGCTCTGTGGAAGGTGACTCCTCCACTGCTGCAGGCAGTTCTGGTGCCTGCCGACCCTTTCAGGGATTAAATTTATCCCAATATCCAACCTGAGCCTCCCCTGGCCCAGCCTGAGGCCGTTCCCTCTCCTCCTGTCCCTGTTCCCTGGAGCACAGCCCGACCCCCCGGCTGTCCCCTCCTGTCAGGAGCTGTGCAGAGCCACAAGGGCCCCCTGAGCCTCCTTTTCTCCAGGCTGAGCCCCTTCCCAGCTCCGACTGAGTATTCTTCAAGTCATGGTGACAGGACGGAATCTGGCTCTGTAAATGGTGGGTGATTCCGGGTAGTGCAGCCCGTTTAAAACTATAGTTTATGTGCTGGTTTGCTGGTTTTTGAGAGAGTTCATACAATACCAACAGCTCCTCATTAAAATTCAGTCCGGGTGCAAGTCCCTCTGGGAGCAGGGGAAGTGGTTCCTGACCTGACGGAAAGGGACACAAGTACAGGGGTGCAAATACAGGGTAAGACAGTAACACTTAACAATGGCAAACAAAGTACATTCAACAACAGACTAACACTCCCAGTTAAAATCCTATTAACTTTGTCAACTTTATTAACATTAACTACCAATTGCCACCCTGGAAAAAGAACTCCCATCCCCAATGTTTCATTTCTTACAGAGATAAAAATACTAAACAGAGCTGGGTCCAGTACTGAGCCCTGGGGAACCCCACTGGCGACTGACCACCAGCTGGATTTAATTCTGTTCCCTCCTTTCTGGGCCCAGCCTTCCAGCCATTCACTTTCCAGCCCTTTTTTTCCTTTTCTTGGGTTGAAATCATTCCTATTCTACTCAGGAGATGGGAAGGAGGAGGAAGGCTTTTTTTCTGTGCTCTTCCATGACTTATTAGTGATAGAGTGGCACAGATCCCTGGGCATGCTGCAGAATTCGGGGGAAGTAGCTGAGGGCTTCTGCCATGCACAGTAAACAACACTGAGTCAATCATGCTCCCCCTCAACATGAAATGTTTTTCAAAGGATTTTTAAAATAACTATAACACGTAAATATATGTGTCTTTGTGGAAAGCTGTCGTTTTTTTACTGCTGTGGGGGCTTGCTCGCATCGCATTCCATCAATTCTGTTTACTGAAGCTGCAGCTTCCCACTGTCTGTGCCATTCCTACTGTGCTGAGTGCCCCAAGGAAATTTTCACACTTGCTGGTTCTTGGCTCTCAGGAGTTCTGTATTTACAGGGTGATGCTTCAGTGATGCTGTGCCTGGGAGGGGTGCTCTGTGTGCCATGCAGTGGCAGTGTTACCCCAGCGGCAAACCCAGAGCACACAGGCAGGGGAAAGGCAGGAGAGAAAACAGTGGTGGAAGCACAAGTAGGCTCTGAGCTCCCCATGTTCACTGGTTGACAGCTTTTCTTTCAGGAAAAGGCCTTTTCCAATATTATTCAGAGAGCAGCATGAAGGGAATTTAAATATCTTTATTAGAATAAATATGATTTTGTTGTGTGCTTTGCTGCAAGTGCAGTGATACTCCTTCAGAGACAGTGACTTCAACACAGGGATGTGCTTTGGAGGGCAATTGAAATGTGTTTGCTTCTACAGGTCACTTCCTAAATTTTGGATCCAATATCCTTTAAATCCACTTGCTCTTCGGTTTGCATGTGTTGACTGTCAGTGTTCCAGGAGTGGGATCAGTGGTGGGTGCTGCTCCTCTAAGCTCCTGGGGTCCTGCTGGGCCAACTGCTTTAACACTGCAGTTTTTCCTCTGTGCCTGAAGTGTTTCTTCTTAATATCGCCTTTAATTTGCAAATTAAGGACTGTTCATATATATAAACCTGAGCTTTCTTATCAGAGACAAAAGAGTTAAAATATGGGAATGAACAGAATGGGAAGGCACTTAAGGTATGTTCCTTTCTCAAAAGATGTTTACTTGGAGTTCTTTTGGAGAGGGGAAAGATAAAAGAAAGTCCCTTTGTGGTATGAAATAATAGAAAATATTTTTTCTGAATTTTTGTTTCACACTTTAGGACTAATCTCCTTCCTGATTCTTTACGCTGGATTCAAATAACCTCTTCCTTGCCTTGCCAGGGCACAAAGTGCCCTTGCTGTTCTCTGGTTCTCCTCCATCTCCCCCTCTCCCATGCTTTTCCAGGTTTCCATGGCCAGCATGAGGCACCGAAGGAATGGCAATTTTGAGAGTTCCAGGCTCCTCTATTCCAGCATGTCTCGCAGCATCGACGTGGCTTGCAGCGATGCTGTGAGTACCTGGTGCACGCTGGTGTCCTGGCAGGGGCCCACGGCGGCGATGAATTCGGTCAGGTCAGGAGCAGGATGGTGATGGATTTGTCACTTTCCCCTTTATGGAGACACTTTCCTAACCATGACCTTCGAGCAGCAGCTGACACGGTGAAGCCCAAAGGGTGCATTGCCTTCCTTTAGAGCCCTGCAGCTCTTTATTGTGCTTTCTTCAGCACTTCTGGTTTTACCTTCCCCACGCTGCAGCAAGAGACAAATTTGTCTGTGTATAGAACCACCCCAAGCTCTTCTCGCAGCTTCCTGGCCAAGTCAGCTAACATGTGGTTATGTTAAACATCCTTTCATGCCTGAAAGATTGCTGATTCCAGCAATTTTGTAGCAGATTCCCTGCTCCTGATGGGCTTGCAGAAGGTCTTAATGGCCGATTCTTAGGACTTCGGGAAGTGCTTCCCCCCTCCTTTTATTTTTTTGGTCTCGCACGATTGTGACTTTTACTGGTTGAATGCATTCACTTCCATTTTTCTGGTTTTGGATATAATGCTTGTTATGTTTTTTTCTGCTTGGAATAACTTCTACCTGCTGTTTAACCACAAGTGTTGTGTCAAACGGGTAAACTAAACTGTGGCTGCCTGTCTTCCCTTTGTGTCCCTGGTGAAATCTTGCCCTGCAAATCTGAGCTGTACTTAAAAGCAAACAAAAAAAAAAAAAAAAAAAACCCAACACGTCATCAGCAAGTGAGAATTTCTCTTTGCTTTCTTAGCTGGCAGAGGCAGCTTAGGGATGAATTTGCATCCCCCGAGCTAAAGCTTCTCCAGGGAGTTTCAAAGTTAATAGCAGAGTTAATGGCTAAACAAGCTGGAGAGACTTCGCATTCCACTGAGTTCCCATAAAGGACAACTTGAAGCTCTTCTGGACTCCTGCTGGGGTCTTTGTGTGTTGAATTAAAACAGCTCCTACCCTAAAGAACTGTCTTCCCTTTTTTTATCTTAATTTTTTTTACTATTGGGAAGAATGTTTGCCATAGTGTTTTAAGCAGTATCTTTGTGTTCACACTGACTGTGCTGTTACTGAGGTCTCTTCGGTTTCGTGAGTTACCAGAAATAAACTTCTAAAAATTATTTTCCAGGATTTGGCCAACTTCATCCAAGAAAACTTTAAGAAGAGAGAATGTGTCTTTTTTACAAAAGACACCAAGTCCATGTAAGGAGATACTTTTATCTTGTTTTTCAAGAACGGGGCTCGTAGATGAGGGTATTTCTGTCTGCAAAGGCATGGAGAAAAGTTTTGGGGTTTTTTGTTCAGAGCCTAGATCTAGCAGTTCAGTCTCACCTCAGTCCTCTTGTTTGAGTTACTCCACAAGTAACCTGATGCAAAACTAGGGATCTCATCTTCCAGCAGCTCTGTCACAGGGTTTAATATCAAATTCCCTGTTTGAAGCATAACTGGGGCAATAGGATGCTTGAAGGCTGCAGTACTGGTATTGGTGTCTGACAAGGTGTACGCATCAGAAGTCTGCATAATTTAAATTTTCCTTTTAAACCCAAATCACAAATTTCATGCACAAATATTACACAGGCACTAGATTTTGCTCAGGCTGATGTTCTCTTAAGACAGGGTATTAAACTGGCTCCATTTTCAGGCACAGGTACCAGTGCAGTGCTAGTTTGAGGACCATAACGTTGCTTTGTGGTTTTGGGGTGGTGTTTTTTGGTCTCAGGAGAAAAGTGATCAAACTAATACAGCTGCAGAAATCCTAATATTGAGCTCTGAGGGCTCTCTGACACCACTCTTCTCTGAAGATGGGAGGAAAAATGCCTCAGAGAGGGAGGGAAATTAGTCTCATTTCAGAAAGTCTCACTCAGGGTCCTCCTCTGCCACCAAAAATGGGATGTCTGGCAAGGCACCAACAGTGGATGGAGGAGCTGGTTCTCATCAGCTTCTCTTCCTGCAAGCCCTCTGGGAGAGGATTGCAGAATTTGCTGGGTTATTTTTGTCTAGATATTTTTAAGGTAAGCTGGTTTCATTTGCAAGGTACAGCAGAGTAAAATAAATCTTTCTAAAGGAGACAAGCAATTCCCCCTTCTCTGTGTCCTCTGAGGAAGCAGGAATGTGGGCTGTGGAGAGCACCTTTAAAATCAAGTCAGCCCAGCACCACCACCAAGCCACGTCCTCAAGTGCCACATCCACGTGATTTTGGAATACTTGTAGGGATGATGGCTCCACCACAACCCTGGGCAACCTGTACCACTGCCTGACAGCCCTTTCCATGCAAGTTTTTTCCCCTGATATCCAATATGAACCTGCCCTGGCACAACTTGAGGCCTTTTCCTCTTGTACTGTCACTTGGGAGAGGAGATGCAGTGAACTCGTCCTGTGTGGTTAAGAGCACAAAAAGGGGAAGGAACCCCTGAGCACAGCCTGGTTCCCGAGCTGTGTTCCACTTCCCAGTGCTGGGCAGAAGCAGGTTTTGGGGGAGGAAGCAGGATGAGGTGCTGCTCTGCTTTGTCAGGTGGTAAATCCCAGTTGAGTCCCACACACAACTGGTTCTGTAGCTCCACCTGCTGCTTTCCTTGCTGGCAAAGCTCGCTTTTCTGTGCTCAGGATTCCTCAGGGGTCTTGTGTCTTATTCCCTCTTCTTTCAGGGGTAACTTATGTAAATGTGGATACCCTGAAAATCAGCACATAGAGGGCACCCAGGTTAACACCACTGAAAAATGGAACTACAAGAAGCACACCAAGGAGTTTCCTACTGATGCCTTCGGGGACATTCAGTTTGAAAACTTGGGAAAAAGAGGAAAGGTAAGTGGAAATATTAAGGATATTCATGAGGCCTCTGTTGAGTACCAATGGGAGCTCCTCAAAAGCAGGGAAGGTCAAATGGATTTTATTCTAATGGCAGGAGATAAGCTACAAGGGACACAGACTTGTTTTTTCAAGCCCTGAAAATAGGTAACAAAGGATAATTCCTTCTGTGTTACTTGTTGGTTAGGCTGGTCATGGGAGTGAAAAGAGATTATTTCTTTCCAGGCATGGCAGGAGAACGGGTGAATGAGAGTGAATGGATATAAAATAATCCCTGAATTATTTTATATCCACATAGACCAGCTTGCTCAGGCCTATAAACAATTGAATATTGAATATTTTCTCAGGATGGAGAGTTCTGGAGGGATGTAAGATGTCTGTGGAACTTCAAAAGTTTTATTTACTTTGTTGGGTTTTTTTCCTTATGTCTTTGCTTGGACTGGGGACAGTGGAGGTGTGAGAAGAAGAAAATAGCTGCTGTTGCTGTTTCTGGTGATTTTTACTGATGCTTGTGAGGAGTCACATGTGGCTGAGCTCATCTGCCTCCTCCACATGGCTGATATTTAACACCAGTGCAGGTTGCTTGGGACAGTCAAAATAAATGAGGAAAATCAGAGCCTGCTATGTAAATGAATTTGGTTTGTTTTATGCAAAGTAGCAGAAATAAGAGGCACTTGAGTGGGAAATGAGACAGAAAGTTTCAAATCACCCTTAAACAGATCCATGTATTTCACATAATTTTTTATATGCACGTTTTAGCTTTGTACTACTTTGTTGTAAGCTGCTGTGTGACTGTACTGGAACAAAAAAGTGCTTTGCTCTGTTGCAATATTTCAGACTTCTCAAAGGTTAAATGTTCTTTCCTTAGGTTGTGTCTTCCCCACTTCCAGCTTTGGAAATCAGTTCATGTGCCCTCAGTGGTTTCATGCGGACTCTCAAGGCCACTGTGCACATTTCAGAGCATACTTTGTTCAAACACTGCATATAGGTCTCCTTGTCCATCCCATTGGAGTGCTGGCTGGAATCACATCTTAATTCCCTGTTCTTATTCCCTACACAGCAAGGCACCTGCTGCTCCTGAAGATTGCCAAGTATTTCCTGTTGATGCACAGCAGGGAGGACTTCAAACTCAGGGTGACCTGAGAATTGCTGTCAGTTATCAGTGAGGGATGGAAAGTTTTATACCCTGCACTGTGCTTTTTAGGACACATGAGTCCTTAAAAGTTCTGAGCAGAAATTAGATGTGAACAGGCCCATAAAGAGGTCTGAGGACAGGCTGGGAGAGCTGGGGGTGCTCAAGCCTGGAGAAGAGAAGGCTCCAGGGAGAGCTCAGAGCCCTTTCCAGGGCCTAAAGGCCTCCAGAAGAGCTGGAGAGGGACTGGGGACAAGGGATGGAGGGACAGGACACAGGGAATGGCTTCCCACTGCCAGAGAGCAGGGTTAGATGGGATCTTGGGAAGGAATTCCTCACTGTGAGGGTGGTGAGGCCCTGGCACAGGGTGCCCAGAGAAGCTGTGGATGCTCCTGGATCCCTGGAAGTGTCCCAGGCCAGGTTGGATGGGGCTTGGAGCAGCCTGGAATAGTGGAAGGTGCTCATGGCAGGGATGAGACTAAAGCTTTAAGCTCCCTTCCAGCCCAAACCACTCTGGGATTCTGTAAAACCTCACCCTCTGTAAGTCCAGCTTTTGAGCTCTTTGTTTCTGCTGTGCTGCTCAGACCCTGTAGCATCCACGAGCATCTCAGTCACTGCATTTAATGATTTAATATTCTGGGAGCCCAAACAAACCCCAGAAAGGCTTCCTGAATCACAGCCCTGGTCTGGGAGCAGCATCCAGCAGTACCACGAGATGGCATCCTTGTACTTCGGAGGAGGGAGGTGCTGAGCCGAGGAGTTCACCGGCTGCATGGAGCTGACAGGTTTGCTGTGGGCAGGGCTGACCCCAGGTCGTTTTCCTGGTAGCTCCCCCCTCTCCTGTAGGGGATCCTCTCCAGGGAAACACCCAAAGCTTCTTGTGACTGAAGGGCAGAAGCTGTGGGAGTCCCTTAGCTCTCCTGTGTAGCTGCTGGAGCCTGCTCAGCATCCTCTGTGATGCCCTAAATGCTTTAACTCCTTCTGGGAACCTGTCTTGGAGCACATGAATATTTTTATTCAAGTTCAGTGTCTCTTAGGTGGAGACATTTCCTTCTCAAAGTAATCCTTTCATTTTGCTCTCCTGCAAGTACTGGGCAATTTATATGAAATCCTCTATGCTTCAGGTCCAAGCTACTCCTTTTCATCTCCGCATTTGGCTTGTGCACCCATGAACGTCTTCCAAAAGTGATGAAACTGTGAAGGGGCTTTTGAATAGCAAAGCAAGACAAGGCCAGAGAAGCTTTTACATAAATGGAGACATGTTACGTCCACCTGAAGCCAGATTATCTCCCTTAAGTGCTTTTTAACATCTTTGTAGAGCGTTCAAGCTTTACTACAAACTATGTGTTTGTTTTGTCTTGTACTTGAAGCACTGGAGTGGGTATGTGTAGTGATAGGCACACCTCTCACGTGGAGCCTGGAATTTATTTGAATAGTGTAATCAAAATACAACAGTCATTATTATTATTCACTTGCAACCATGCCGCCTCTGATTCATAATCTAAGCTTTAAATAGCACCGTTGGAGTTAGTTGCTGTAGTGGTGGTGTGTTCATCCTTGCAGAGCTCCTCTGAAGCCCAAGGTCACTGCTCTTGCCTTGTCTAGAGGAACCTGGGTTGAGTGCCTGGTTGTAGGGGAAGGATAAAGGTGCTTCAGAGGAAGAAACGAGGATTTCATCATCACCTTGCCTTTCATCTCCTGGCTGTTGGAACGAGGCTGTGCAGCAGAGAAGAAAATGCAATCCCCGGGTTGCTCCCAGCCACCTCAATTTATCTCCTGCTATGTTTGTTCTCCTATTTTCTCTCCCTAAGTACATCCGCCTGTCGTGTGACACAGACTCTGAGACACTCTACGACCTCATGACCCAGCACTGGCACCTGAAGACCCCAAACCTCGTCATCTCCGTCACTGGCGGCGCCAAGAACTTCGCGCTCAAGCCCCGCATGCGCAAGATATTCAGCAGGCTGATCTACATCGCCCAGTCCAAGGGTAAGCACCTGCTTCTGTGCCTCTGTCACTTCCTTGCTGCAGGGGTAGCAGCTCAAGGGATCTGTGGGGGAGCAGAGTGTTCATTTGGCTGCTGCTGCACGTGTGACATTAATGGCTTGGAAGTAACAGGAGTGGGATTTAGTCAGGGGTGCCTGTGATAACATAAGGTGAGTTGTGTAGCAACTCTTTTGTGCTTAATGGAAGAGCCAACCCCCAAGGTCACAAAAGGGGTTTGGGCTGTGTCTTTGATGCCGTGGGAGGGTGGGCGTTTGGCTGTGTTCCCCCAGGTGACTGGTGTTGTTCCAGGAGCCTGGATTTTCACTGGGGGGACGCACTATGGGCTGATGAAGTACATTGGGGAGGTGGTCAGAGACAACACCATCAGCCGCAGCTCCGAGGAGAACGTGGTGGCCATTGGCATCGCGGCCTGGGGCATGATCTCCAACCGGGAAACCCTCATCCGCACGGCCGACAGCGACGTAAGGAGCAGGGCTCAGGGAGCCATCCATGAGCTTAAGGTCGGACAAACTGGGATTTCTAAGATCATGTCCAGCTGTCAGCCCAGCGCTGTGTTTAATTCACAATTAAACCACGTCCTCAAGTGCTGCGTGGATGGGTTGGTGGGGAAGGAAAGGAGGCTCGGCCTCAGAACGTCAGGAGCTCTTCCCAGAACAGGAGGGAAGTAAAATGTTCTCATGCCCGAGTTAGTCCCACACATCAGGCCTGGTGAGGAGGCTTTCAGCTGTGCCAGATTTTGGCATGTCTCTGTGGGAGTTCAGCTGCTCTAACTCCATGTCTGGCATTGCTTTAGGGAATAACTATTCCCGTGGTTATTCTAGCTCTGAAATCCCCATGCGCTCCCCCACAGTAGGGGTTCCCGTGGTCTAAGGCACATGGTACCTGCTGCTGTTTAGGATTTTCATTGACACTGCCATCCCACCTGTCAGATGCACCAGGGTAGCCCCCCCCTTGTCTCTTGCCCACCGAACATGATAGAACACATCTAAAAAATTGTCCCACCACCCAAATATTTGGGGGGGGCACCCAAATAAGGTGGGCGTGTCCTTGAATCTCAATATCAAACACTGTGTGTGCCCCTAGGGGAGCTACTTGGCCCGCTACATCATGGATGACCTGAAGAGAGACCCCCTGTACTGCCTGGATAACAACCACACCCATCTCCTGCTGGTTGATAATGGCACCCACGGGCACCCCACCACAGAGGCCAAAGTGCGGACCCAGCTGGAGAAGTACATTTCAGAGCGGGTCATCCCAGGTATCCTCCTCCTCCTCCTCCTGCCTTTGCATGCTTTGGGGCTGATCCACAGTGATTTTCTTGGGACAAGAAAGTAGTGGCATCATCCTGTGGCTGCTGAGCTGGAAGGCGTGTGTGTGACATGCAGTGCACCTGGAGCTCTTTCAGGAGCAGCACCTTCCCTCATCTTCCTTTCTGTATGTCCTTTGTGTCACAGCAAATGCTTCATTTCAGCCACACAGCCCTTCCCTCCTTTCCTCTTAAAAGCTGGCCCTTCTGTATCCCTCCCACCTGTCACTGAATGCCAGGTAGCTGGAGCACAATCACACAGGAACTGAAATTAGGCTTTTCACAAAATATTTATTATGAGGGTGATTAAGCTGCCTGCAACCTGCTGCTAAATAATTTCTCTTTCTCCCCCTTCTTCAAAAAAAAAAAAAAAAAAAAAAAAGAAATCAAAGGCCTTAGCAGGAAATTCTTAAAAAGCTTTTGGGTATGTTGCTTTTGGGTATGTTGCTGTTTGGGTTTGGTTCTTTTGGGTTTTTTTTTTTGGAATGTCTCTCAAACACTAGCTCCTGGAGTTACGGAATTCTTACCTTTCTTTTACAATTGGAAATGTGAACTCAGGTTCTGTATCTTGAGTTTGTGAGAAGAACCTTTCACTGAGATTCAAAATACTCAAAGGAGCGGATGAATACAATAAAATTCCATTTTGAGGACTTCAGAGATAGCAAAAATTAGGATTTCTAGAAGGGAAAAGCTTCTGTTGGAGAAAGGTGTCTGAAGTCAGCCATGCAGAATGTTAGGCAAAACTGAGTTTTCATTAAAAATATCTGTTAATAACTGGCAAAATCAACAGCAAACTAGTATTTGAATGAATGGCTTGGAGATTCTTTCATTGTACTCAGGAAAAATAAGTTCTTCAAACTGCATTAATTGATTTAATATTTTTTCCTTCTTTTTTCTTTTGGCATATTTCACAGAATCTAATTATGGTGGGAAGATCCCAATTGTGTGTTTTGCCCAAGGTGGTGGGAAGGAGACTTTGAAAGTAAGTTCATTTTTTAAATTTATTTCCAGGAATGACAATAGGGGCATTGCTCTAATATTGAAGACTGATTGCTCCAAAAGAAACTCGATGAAGTAGACACTGCTGTTATTTACAGAAGCTTGCCTTGCACTTGCTGCAGGAGGACCTTGTTTGCAATTTAAGCTTTTGAAGTTTGTTTCTGTTTAAATTTCTGTGCAAAGTTTCTGCCTTGGGCTGACATCCTGGAAAAGGATTGGCTGGGACAGTTCAGTTGTCTCAGTTCTTCCACACCACAGAATGTGAAGGGACATGAAAGACCATCCAGTTCCATCCCCTGCCATGGGCAGGGACACCTTCCACTATCCCAGGTTGCTCCAATCCCCATCCAGCCCAGCCTTGGACACTTCCAGGGATCCAGGGGCAGCCACAGCTTCTCTGGGCACCCTGTGCCAGGGCCTGCCCACCCTCACAGTCAATCATTTCCTCCTAATGTAAATATAAATTTCTCCCCTTGCAGTTTAAAACCATCCCCTCTTGTCCTGTCACTATCTACCCATGTAAAAAGTTTCTCTCCCTGTTTTTTATAAGCCCCTTTAAGTACTGAAAGGCTGCATTTTAAATCTAGTTTAGATCCAGACCTGGTTTAAGTCTTGGCAGCTGGGCAGGGCAGGAGGGCTCTGCTGACTCTGACCCTTCCAAGCCTACAAGGGGAAGGACCGGGCATCATCTTCAAACAGACGACAGGCAGGAGGCTGAACATCCTTGAAACAGGATGTCTAAGTGACACTGAGGGGAGGGGGAAAGGGAGATGGCTTCTAAGTCTCTCTCAGGGTTAAAACCCAGGGTTGTTGCTTGCCCATTCACCTTGCCAGAGGGAGGATGAGTGGCCTGAGGGAGCAAAGGGACCTGACCCAGGGTTTTCAGAGTGAGGGGATGTGGATTCAGGCTGTGTGGGAAGGGAACAGGAACAGTGAGGACGAGCTCTGACCAGCTACAGGAAAAGCTGGTTTAGGTTGTACAGAGAGCTGGGAAAGGGGCTGGATTTTGCAAGAGAGTAGGATGCAGCAAAAATAAGTTGAAGCAGCATTATATTTACGATTTTTTTTTGGTAGACATTATCTTGGTACTTTCTGTTCTCACCAGAGCTGTGCTGTTACTGTCAAGGTTGATCAAACTACTTGGCTTGTCAGGAGGATAAACAATGTCATTTCAAAGCATGATCTCTGCTACCACTTTGTTGCTGGTGTTAATCAGTTGGTCTGATTCAGTGTGTGAAATTCCAGATTGTTATCCCAGCCTCCCTGTATGTTTCCTGCGAGTTTGGTTCCATTCACATGATGAATTTTGTCCTTGCACAGTTGTAGATGAATGCAGACGCAGTGTTAATCAGAGGTCCTGAGATGAATTGAAGCATCCAGTCAGGTTTTAGAGCAAAGCTGTGCTCAGAGGGTTGTGTTGAATATGTCCATTTCCTTTTAGCTCCAAATTGCTGGTAGTTGAGAAAGGATTTGGCCATCATTGAAGGAGCTGACTGACTGCCAGGTGCTGTAGCTGTGCAGACTTATTATTTCACTTTTTTTGGAGAGACCTCAGACCCACTGTTAAGCAGTGATACATCACACAGACTTAGTAGCTGCCTAACCAGAATGAGTAAAAGCCTTGTTAAACGCATAATTCCTGGCAAGAGTCTCCTCTGGGAAGTACCTGGATGATGGTTCAGTTCAGGGTTCATGCCACTCTCTTGGCTGTTTCACAGGATCATGATAACATTGAAGTTGGAAAAGATCTCTAAGATCTCGTGGTCAATCTAGCACCATTATCACGTTCACCACCAAACTGTCCTCAGGTGCTACATCCACTCATTTTTTGAAATCTTCAGGGATGATGACTTCCTTTAGCAGCCTGTTCCAGTCCTTGACATCCCTTTCAGTGAATAATTTTTAGTGATAGCCAACCTAAACTTCTGGTGCAACTTGGGGCTGGTTTATGCCACGCTGAGTTTTTATTTCTCAGTGTTGGAAGTGCACTGAGATACTCTGAGGTGAAGCCTTTTTTCAAGGAGCACATTAAGTCTCTGACCAGCCCAGCTGACTCAGCAGAGTCCATGCTGTGGATGTCTGTCCTTGCCATGCCTTGGTCCTAGCAGTGCTGGCCAGGAAAACTCCCTCTTTCTCAGCTTCTGTGACTGGTGCATGACAACAAGAATCAGCATTAGTGAGGGAGAAGTAAAACTGCTACAAGCTTCTGTTTGAAATTTCCCTGTGATGTAACACATGCACTTTAGCTGAACCCTTCTTTAGAAAATCACTTTCATCTAGCTGATAAGAAAAGCCTCCTTGCCTTTGTCAGAGACCTGCTCTCCAGTTGACAGGAGGAATGTGTGCGCGGTTTTGATGACTGAGTTGATTTTTTTTGTTTGTTTGTTCTCAAGAAACTCTCTTAACTAATAGATGTTCTGTCTTTCCAGTTCTTGGTGATAACTTGCATCGACTCCCTTTGTACAATTTGCTGGCAGCCAGCTTATGCTGTGACTCTGTTCTCAGTGTAGTGATGCAAATGAAATCAGTGTCTCCTATGGTCTTTGCACCAGGAGGGTTAATGGTTCTTCCAGCATGATTTCAGCAGATTTTTGTCTTGCCATTAATCCATGTACAATGTTGTTGTGTGAGAAATCAAGTAAATGGCTACTTGGAGACTTTCAGTAATATTAGAGTTTGATGTTCTTGTGATGCTACAGAAGTGCTCTCTCTGTAAAACACTGCTGCTGTTGCCTCCAGCAAATAAATCCAGAGCCTTTGGTTCCAGCTGAGCAATGCTGTGCCATAAAGCAGCAGTGACTGTAGCTGGGCAGCACTGTTGTGTGACCTGAATGCCATTTCCACTTGGCAATTGTCCTGAGCTGCTGATCCACTCTAAAGCTGAGCAGCCTGCCCTAGTGGAAGGTGTCGCTGCCATGGCAGGGGGTGGAACAAGATGTGCTTTGAGGTCCCTCCCAACACAAATTGTTCTGTGATTCTGTGAAAATTTGGCAGCTGGTGATTTCTGACCCTCGGTCTCTCTGGGGCTCTTCACAGCCCTCTCTCATTAGATGATGATGCTTTAAAGAGTTCTCACTGGTGATGTATCAGTGGATAATAATAAAAATACTGCTGTGGACCGTGGGTTTCTGTTGTTCTCTAGGCTTCCTTACTCAAGAGCAGGCTCTAGTAACAGTCGTGCTTCAAGTGCTCTCCTCTGCCTCTGTCTCCTCAGTCCATCAACGTGGCCATCAAGAGCAAGATTCCCTGTGTGGTGGTGGAAGGCTCTGGGCGCATTGCCGATGTCATTGCCAGCCTGGTGGAGGCTGAAGGCACTCTTGCTTCCTCCTGTGTCAAGGAGAGCTTGCTCAGGTTCCTGCCGCGCACCATTTCCAGGCTCTCAGAAGAGGAGACCGAGAGCTGGATCAAGTGGGTGAGTGTGGGCTGCTGTGGCAGGAGGCTAGAGGGAGCAGCTGGTGGCTTCCAGGTCAGGGCTGCTGCTGTCTGGTGATACCTGCGGGGTGTGCAGGGCTCCTTGCCGTGTTACATCTGTGCAGATGCAAAAAAGGAAAATTCTCCATCTACAGGGACTGGAACAAAAGCACTGGGGGGGGGCTGCAGTCGAGTCAACAGGTGTCTGGTCACAGGAAAGCTAAGAAGGTTCCAGAAGGATCTCTTCCCTGTGAAGTGTGGAGCTGCTGAAGGCAGTGTTCCCTGTCTGGCCACACTCCTCACAGCTTCTGCTGGGCTGCCCTGGAGTGTACCTCCTCCTGCATTAGAAATGGGCAAGATTGTTTGTCTTCTATGTGCTAAAACGAAATTAACTCTACAAAGCTTCATTATGAGAGAAATTACCTGGCTCTGACAAAGCACAAGGAGCTAGAGACTGTTCTCTAACAAACTGCTTGATATAAGTTGAAACTTGTGCTGTCACAATCTTTTCTACTTTAGGAGTCACTTCTAATTACTGAGATTATATCTTCTTGTTAAAGATGATCTGCATAGGGAAATCACAGTTATTTGCTGTATGTTCAGAGGATAATTAATGTTGTCCTTTGGTGACTTTGAAATCAAGCTCATTATCTACTTCTATTTGGGTTTGTTTAAATTTGTTAAAACTCAGGACTGATGAGAAGCAGCTTTGCTATGATGTGGTGGCAAATTTCTTTTTAATAAGAGATCTGCTACTAAACAGCCTTGATAGCTTTGAAACACGGCTTTTCTCTTTTTTTTGTAGATCAAAGAAGTCCTTGAGAGCCCTCATTTACTGACAGTGATCAAAATAGAAGAAGCTGGGGATGAAATTGTGAGCAATGCCATTTCCTTTGCCCTGTACAAAGGCAAGTAATTGTTTTTCTGAGTTTGTTTGGGGATTTAAAAATAAATGGGAAAAGGATGGCTATTTATTCTCTAGAACAGATTTCCTTAGAGCAGTGCCATCTCTCTAGAGCTAAGCTCCTGCCACAGTGTGGATCCTGCCTTGCTCTGAAGGGGTGTGGGCAGGCTACAGCAGCAGTATGGGATCTCTCAGTGTGGGAAAGATCCAAACCAGGTAATTGGGAAGGCATTTTGGAGAGCCCTGGGGATGCTGACAGGGTCCCACTGGGAATCCTGCAGAATCTCTCTTGTATAGAGGGTATGAGGAGCCTGTATGAGGGTATGAGTCCCTTGCATGAGGGACTCTGAGGAGCCTGAAGGAACCATTGTGTTGATCTTGGTCATGAGGTGCTCCTGGCGGCTCCTTTGTGGCCTGTCTTGGACCATAAATAGATGCCTGAGCCTCCAGCCCCCAGTTGGGAAGATGTGCACAGGTGTGGGGAAAGCCCCTTGGAAGGAGTCTTGTCCTGGTGGTGTGAGAAGCAGAGATGATAACCATGCCTGGCCTTGACCCAGAGGTTGTTGCTGCTCTGCAGCTTTCAGCACCAACGAGCACGACAGGGACAACTGGAACGGGCAGCTGAAGCTGCTGCTGGAGTGGAACCAGCTGGACCTGGCCAGCGATGAGATCTTCACCAACGACCGAAACTGGGAGGTACAGCCCCTCTTTGAGTGAGTGCAGGGGGCTCTGGGGAGGGACACAGCCCAACAGGAGCCACTGTCCCAGCACCTCAGCCTCTGTATTGAGAGTGTCTACTGCTCCTGCACTGTCACATTCCATTCAGCCTGGAGAAGAGGAGGTCAGACCTCCTTGGGAGCTGCTGCTTCCTCACAAGGGGCAGCTCCCATCTCTGCTGTGACAGGGACAGGACCCAGGGAGCAGCTGGAGCTGTGTCAGGGGAGGGTCAGGCTGGAGATCAGGCTGGATGTTCTTCCCCCAGAGGGTGCTGGGCACTGCCCAGGCTCCCCAGGGAAAGGGCACAGCCCCAGGCTGCCAGATCCCAAGGAACATTTGAACAATGCTCTCAGGGATGCACAGGGTGGGATTGTTGGGCTGTCTCTGCAGGGCCAGAGGTGTGGGACTTGATGATCCTTGCAGGTCCTTTGCAACTCAGGGTATTCCATCCATAAATGATCATTTTGGATCATTCCATGATGATCCATCATTCCGTGATGATCCATTGTTTGATCAGTGTTGCAAAAGTGATCTGCCCATGCCAGAAATGCTCTGGGCCATCCAGCCACGGCAACTGTGTCCAGAAAAAAACCTGATTCTGATGAAAACATGACAGTGACCACGTGTCAGGCTGTAAATAAGATGTACACGTCTCACATGATCCCTAACTTTTGCTTTTCCATTTCTTCCTAGTCTGCTGACCTGCAGGATGTGATGTTCACAGCCCTGGTGAAAGACAGGCCCAAATTTGTCCGGCTCTTCCTGGAGAACGGCTTGGATCTGCGGAAGTTCCTGACCACAGAGGTCTTGAGGGAGCTGTACACCAACAACTTCAGCAGCCTGGTGTTCAAGAACCTGCAGATTGCCAAGAACTCCTACAACGATGCCCTCCTCACCTTTGTTTGGAAGATGGTGGAGGATTTCCGGAGAGGTTTCAAAAGATATTACAAAAACAGCAAGGATGAGATGGAGATACAGCTCTCAGTGAGTGATGAGCAGTTTGATCCTGCTGTGAGTGAGGCTATCTGGACTGCAGTGGTTAAAGCAGGAAGTGCCTTTTGCACAAATATTCTTTAGTACCAGCTTCAGGAAAAATGGGCAGGCTGATTCTTCCTTGTCAAATACAAGGCTTTACTAGAAATAGCAAATGTAACCTAACTCACAGTAGTGTGTGACAAGTGGCAGAGAGCTGAGAGAAGGAATTGGTGAGGTGGCTGTGAAAGAAAGAAAATACAAAAACAGGAGAGTCCGTGCTCAGATTTGTTCCATTTGAAAACATCTGGTGAGCCTAGGTCTGAGTTCTTGCTCTCTCTTTCAGGAGGAGTGTCCTATCACAAGGCACCCATTGCAAGCTCTGTTTATTTGGTCAGTTCTTCAGAACAAGAAGGAATTGTCCAAAGTCATTTGGGAGCAAGTAAGTTGAGTTCTCCTTTATTTCTCTTTGCAGGCAGTGCAGTGGGGTTCTGTGTCTTTAGTTTATTGGCCTTTGAAGGCTCCACATCCAGCTTCAAACACACCACCACAAGAGATAATTGCTAGATGACTCTCAGTAGGTTTTATATTGTCCAGTTTATGTCTGGGTGTGGACTTCATACTTTTGTTTCCTAAGGCTGTGTGTGAGTCAGCAGTCCACATCCATTGTATGTTGTCACCTTTGCCAACTCTGGGATACTGAGTTCCCACCCATTCCACAGCAGGGATGGGTTCTGATTCCAGGTGTTTGATTGCAATCCAATTTCTAATTGGGATTAGACAGTAATTTAATGACTGTGGAATCAAAAAGATCATTCTGGACTGGGAACTGAGAAGGTCCAAAATGGAGGAGAATTTTTAAACATTCCACCTGGTGTAGTGGAAGGTGGCAGGGGGTTGGGATGAGATGGTCTTTAAGGTCCTTTCCAACCCAAATCATTGTGGCTTCAGGATTCTATGGTCACGTTTCCCTCTCAGAGGGATTTGCATGACTTCACTCTCTCTCTACAGACCAGAGGCTGCACTTTGGCAGCCCTGGGGGCCAGTAAGCTCCTGAAAAGCATGGCCAAGGTGAAGAATGATATAAATGCTGCTGGCGAGTCCGAGGAACTGGCTAACGAGTATGAGACAAGAGCAGTAGGTAAGTGCCTGCTCTGTGAGTCCTTTAGAAATTTAGTGGGAAGGGTCAGAGACCAGGGAATTAAAAACTAGACATCCAACATTAAATATATTTTTCTTTTATGTCAACATGTGATTTTACTGCTAAGAAAGTCCTTCCACATTGTTTGTTCCCAGTAGAAATTTCGTGTCCTGTTCTGGCTTCAAAAGGTGGGTTTTGTGAAGTGGATTTTTTTGGGGTGTAGAATTTCTTTCATGGGGAAGAAAAGCTACTTAGCTCCACTGGCAAGGCTGAAGAAGAATGCCCACAAAAGGAATGAAAGTATAGAAAAGAGGAAACTTTCCTAATGAATACTGGTAGTATTCAGGTTGGGAAAAAACACCCTTCAGATTTTTGGGAGTACTTCTGGGGAGTGAGAACAAGTTGAAGGTAAAAAGTAGATTGATGGTTCTGTGACTTTATAAGGACCAGCTCAAGGCCACACTGGAAATATCTTGCTTGTTTCCAGAGAGTATCTCTTATTCCACAAAGGAAAAACCGCTTAAATAGACTTTTTTAAAGGTATCTACATCCCTCAGACCAGGTGATTTAGCAAGACACTAAAGAGTGAACAGTGCATTTCCCAGTAAAAAAGCATCAGATTCTGACTTTTTCAACCCTGCTATTAATTTTGGACTGACTATAATTCATCAGATCAGTGCCAAACAGAATTTAATAAAAGAGGACGAAGCAAGGAGATTTACTGAATCATTTAAGGAGAAATTCACATTTTTTACTCAATTTTTTAGTGCAGAACTGAATGCTCTCTGTGTGATTTAGTGTTACAGTTTTCCATCCAGGCTCTAATTCTATTTTGTGGGGTGCCCCGATGAAGGAAGGAATGATGAGTCTGATTCCATGTTCTCAGAAGGCTAATTTATTATTTTATGATACTATATTATATTAAAGAATACTAAACTATACTGTACTAGCACCTTCAGCTCCGATGGGGACAAAACGGGTGTCTTTGCCTTGGATGTGAGTTTCTGCAGCTGGCCTTTGCTGGCCCCAAGGCCGCCTCTCCAGCAGCTCTCCATCCTCCTTCCCCACTGCATCTCCCTGCCCCAGGGCAGTGCCTGAGGGCAGTGGATGCAGGATGTCTTTACCTCTGAAGCAACAACCTGAGCTAGACTTTGAATTCTTTTCTCTTTTGCTTTTAAGAACACAGATGTTTCTAGGCATTAAAAGCTATGCTTTGAGAACTTTTCCCTCTTTTAATTGCTCAGGGAAAAGCCTGTGGAGAAGAGTAAGGAACTCTTCTTATATTATGTGTCTTTCTTCACCTCCCCCTTTGTGGTCTTCTCCTGGAATGTCACCCTGCATTAACTTTTATTTTTACTTGAGCTCAGATGACATTTCTGATGCTGCTGTTCCTGTGATGTTTTTCCATTTTAATAGTCAAGATGGAACCCTGTTTACGGCAACTTTACTTGTTAAGAAAATGGGGGAAAAGTAAAAGACTTTTTTGCCATGAAAACACTAATGGAGTGTTTGTTTCTGCTGATTTAGGTTCTGGTGTCTCTGGACCTGTCCTTGCACGTCCTGTGTGTACCCAGCAAAAATCCTGGGGAAAACCTTAGGGATAGAAACCTTATTTTCCTACAAATGTCCCTTTTTCTTACTACCCTGAGCAGGTAGAACTGCTGCAATTCCCTTTAGTAACTGGTAGCCAGACTGTACCAGTTTGGCAGTGGAGGCAGCTAAATGTGAAGATTTCAGGTTACCTGCAGCCAGTGTTCTGGCTGCAAAGCTGTTTTCCTGAGGAGGAGAAATGGAGCAGAAAAGCAGAGCAGTGTCCCAATCCTCTAAACTTCTTGGGGAAATTCCTCCCTGGCTTCCCCTGAGGTAGACCACGTGTGCATTGCTCCAACTCTGCATCAAAATTGTGTCAGTGTCCTTTGTATTTAAAGAAGTAAAAGACAGGGGTATCTCAGATTTTGTTTTCACATCCAAGGCAAGTAGGAGCAGCTTGCCTGGGGTCCCAGGTAGCTGCAGCAGTCAGAGAACCAGTTCTGGGGAGAAAGCAGCCCCCCTTGGTCTGGAGCAGTCTCGGAACTGTAAGCCACTGGCTCAGCCCTGCTTTCACTTCTGGTGGTGCCAGGGATTTGTAAGTATCTGGAGCTGCTCCAGTCCCATTTAGAGCCATAGGGAAATTGGAGAGGCCTTGTCCCTGCTGTCTCCTTAGCCACATGGAGGTAGCCTCCAGCCAGGTGAGTGGGTGGACTGGTGGGGTGTGAAGGAAAGCCCTGCTTTCTCCAGTGGAGGAGGAATCTGGACAGAACCTCTGTGCACTTCACCTCTCAGCAGTAGGAACTGCTTGGAATTTGGAGAAGTGCACCTCAGTCCCAGATGTTTTGTTTGATTTAGGGAGCTACTGGGCAGAGACAGCACCTAGGAGAAAACTCCCTTTGATTTCTGTTTGCTTCCCATAGAAGTACTAAGGGCAGAATTGCCTTCCTTGGATATGCCAGTTAGAGATTCACTGAGCAGTACTCTCCAAAACTTTGATCATTTCAATGAAAATTGAAATTCAAAAGAATTATGGCTGGGGATGCAGTTTATTTCTCCAGGCCTGGCAGAGGTTTGTCCTGGTGAAGCTTCTTGTCCTCATCAGTCACCTCTGAATTGACTCCAGAGGTTGGTTCTTGCACAGACCTGGGATCCAGGCTGCTGTGCCAGTCAGTCAGGGAATGAGCAGGCATTCTCACTAGACTTGCAGTTCAGAAATAGAGAGGTGTGTAATTAGAAGAATAAATTAAATCTGCGTCTTGGATCCAAAGCATGTGCCTGTAGCTGGGGGCAGATTAGTGAATGAGCTCTGTGAAGGGAGAGAAGCCAGGATGCATCAGCTACCCTTAAACTGTGAGCCCCGTCCCCTCCCAGTGCCTCCTGGGCCTCCGAGACCCAAAAAACCAGGCTGTGCCAGTAACTTGTGGCATTGCTGGATACACTAAACCCCTCTTTCTGGGGAAACTGAAAGCCATCTGCACTCTGGTGTTCTCTATTGTGTGACAAAAAGCTAATTGGGCAAGGAAACTGTGCTGTGTGGGGGTTACTTTCTGTTCTGTTTCCTTCCCAGTGGTACATGAACGGCAGCAAGTATTTCTCAGACCTGTGGAATGTTATGGATACCCTTGCAATCTTCTACTTCATAGCAGGGATTGTGTTCAGGTGAGTAGTGCCTTCTCTTGTGTCCATGTTACAGCTTTGCTTCCCTGCCTTAAGGTGGGTTTTGACTACAACCTGTAAGGAAATTTTGGGGAGCAATGTATTAATGGAATTCCCTTTATGAAGGCCCCAAATAATGGCAAGTGTTGACTTAAAAAAAACAAACAAACAAACAAACAAACAAACAAAAAAAAAACCAACAACAAAAAAAAAAAGTCAGGGGACCTTTAGGATTTTCTGTGGCTCCTGTTACTGGCTATCTAGTGTGACCACCTGGGCCTTGTGTTGTATTTAAAAGGACTGGGATTGTCCCTACAGCAGCCTAACAATGTCTTTATCTCCCAGAAGCTGTTCTACACAACGAGGTCAGTTAAAAACCACAGCAAAGAAATGATGGAAACACATTTTCCAAAGCAATTGTTCAGTCAGCTGTAACTTAGTCCTTGTTGCCCCAGGGCAGTGGAGCAGTTGTTGCACTGTGGTGGTTTCAGAGGGCCGTGGGAGTAGCTCCAGGTACAAATTTCCTTGCTGTTAATAGCTTGAAGGGTAAGAGAAGTAATGAGCAGGGCTGATGCATGTCAGGAAGAAAGGGTGTAAACAGAGTGTGCATTAACCATCTCTGCCACCTGCCATTAGATGGGGAGGCCATGGGGCCCTGCATAGCTGTGCTCTGCTTTCCAATTACTCACCTTCCACTCTCCATTTCAATGTCTCAGTGTGGTTTTGCCTGATTTCTGCATGATTCACCCAAGGCTTCTCTTTGTTTTCTTCTGCTGTCTCCATCAGGCTTCACTCTGATGAAAGCTCTTGGTATTCCGGGAGAGTAATTTTCTGTTTGGACTACATAGTTTTCACCCTGAGGCTCATCCATATTTTCACAGTTAGCAGGAATCTAGGACCCAAAATTATTATGCTGCAGAGGATGGTAAGATTCTGGCAGCTATTCAAGAGAGTCTAAAAAAAATGATGTGAGACTTTTTTTCCCCCTTCCCTCTTAAGAGTGAAATCACCATGTTCTGATGATGCCAGCAAGTTAAATCTGCTAAACAGGATGAATTAAGATTTAAATGGGATCTAATTAAGAGTAGGGCATTTTTCTGTGTCCAGAGAGAGAATAAGCATCAGGCTGAAGAACAGAAGAGGAAATTTGCTTCCTGGTAGCTTTTGTCTTTCATACCTCAAATGTTTCAGTGGTATTTCTGTTGCTCCCATGAGTATTCCCCAAACAAGACAGTGATGATGCAGGGTACAAGAGGAGGATTTTGGTCCTCCACTGCATCCATCCCACGAGTACCTGAGGAAGAGGGTGGTGAGGATCCCCTCATACAGTGCTAGAAATTCATGAAACCATTGGCCAGAGTGTCTGGGCTGTAAATGCTGGTTGGAAGCCATCCAGAGTGGCATTTCCAGAAGCTTTCATCTCATAGGGGTAAGGTGAGCCACAGTCCTTTTTACCTGGTTCTGGCTTTTGTGAAGCCTGTCTGATGCCAGGGGAATATCCTGTATTCCAAAACATGCCTTGCTTGTACGGTTGCATAAATATTTTTGAAGTTCTCTGAATGGAAGTGGTCAATGTGTGTTGGTGAAATTAGGAGCAAGAAGCCATCCACGTGTGGCTTGCAGCAGTCCTGCAGTGGGGCACTGATTGATGCCTGCTGTCCTTTTTCAGATGATAGATGTCTTCTTCTTCCTCTTCCTCTTTGCTGTGTGGATGGTGGCCTTTGGAGTGGCCAGGCAAGGCATCCTGAGGAAGAACGAGCACCGCTGGGAGTGGATCTTCCGCTCGGTCATCTACGAGCCCTACCTGGCCATGTTTGGCCAGTACCCCGATGACATTGATGGTATTTATCTTCTGGGGGTCTCTCCTGAGTGTGTTGAAGGTTGTCCAGCCCTGTGCTGGCCCCTTGCCTCCAAGTCTAATGGGGAGCAGGGATGGAGGGATGAGGGCAGGACCTGCAGAACAAGGAGCTCACTGTTTGCCCTCCCCTCTCTCTCTCTGAGGTACCACCTACAACTTTGACCACTGCACGTTTTCTGGGAACGAGTCCAAGCCCTTGTGCGTGGAGCTGGATGCCAACAACCAGCCCCGCTTCCCGGAGTGGATCACCATTCCCCTGGTGTGCATTTACATGCTCTCCACCAACATCCTCCTGGTCAACCTGCTCGTGGCCATGTTCGGGTGCGTACCCAAGGAGCCGTGGCCTCCTGGTCATCCCCGTACTGGCATGTCTCTGGGAAAGGGAGTGCAGTGCTGGAAAAGCCACCCCTTGCCTCTGCATCTGTCACAGCAGCCTGGGGGAAGCCGGTGCAGTGTCCTGGGGAGGGATTGCTGCCTGTCCTTTGCCTCCATCTCTGAGCATCCTCTGCACTGTGGGCGTGCTGCCAACCGCCGCGGGTCACACGGGCTGATGCTGGGTCAGGGCCTTACCAAGTGTGAGCTGCTGCCCAAGTGACCTTGTGTCTTGGTTTGGAAAGACAGGTGCCTGCTGAGGAAGGCAGGAGCCTGCCCTGAAACGGAGAATGTAACCCCCTCCAAATTGCTACAAATTTAAAATTAAGGGGCTCCCAGGCAAAAAAATATGGGAGCAGAAAATAACAGGTTGTTAATAGAAGAAAATAACAGGATAAAATAAACAATGCAGTAAACTAAAAGAACACTGACAGAGTCAGAACACAACCTGACACCCTGTTGGTCAGGGTGTTGGTAGCAGTCCAGTTGGAACTGTGGCTGCAGTCCTCCTGGAGTGTCAGGGGTGCTTCTGCTGGAGCAGTGATCCTGTAGAAAGGTGTAGTCTTGCTCTGAAGATCCAGTGGAAGAAGAGGCAGCTGCTGTTCTTCTGGGAAATCCAGTGGAAAAGCTGTGTTGGTATTCCAGAATTTCCAGATTATATCCAGGTAGGAGTGCTGGGCTGCTCCCTCTGGGCAGAGCGTCTCCCACTGGGATACTGCAGTTCTTATCAGCCATGCAGTGACATTCAATAGCCTGTTATCAGCAGATGTCCTCCCTGGAGGGAGGAGTGGGTGTGGAAGAGATAAGGAAAACTGCCCACTTAACAGAAGACAGCTGCCATGCAGATGGCAAATAGAATACATCTTGCCTTGCAATCTGGGACACCTGGCTGGAGGGAGTGAATGAGTCATTATCACTCTTCAGGACACTGTGGTTTTATTAAGCTGAGCTGCTGTGTGGTGAGGAAGGGTCTGGTACTGCTCTGGTGCACCTGCCATTTGTTGTCCTGACTTAGACCACAGGCAGTGGGCCACATTCCCGTGGGGCATGCAGATGGACTTTGTCTTGAGAAGTGCCATCACCTCCAGACCAGCAAGGGCAGGGAACATCTTCCTCAGCTTCTCCCAGAAACCTTTGTTGCATCCAGTGCAAGCTGTGACAGGGAGTTGATTGAATCCTGGGAAGTTCCTCATATCAGACTATGGGGTGTGTTGCCTCTGTGTCTCACTTGGGAATGCAGCTGGATTGGTGCTGTGGCTCTGTTCCCATTCCCAGCCCTGCTCCTTTTCTGCTTTTCACTCACATCATAACAAGAGTACTCAAAACCTCTGGCCACGCTTTCTTGAGGACCACTAGGTTTATTTCTGTGTTTTGGTGGCACCTTGGCAGGAAGTTGCTTTGGCAGCAAGAGAGTATTGACAGGACTCCTGGTGCTGCTCAAGAGGATCTCTCAGCTGAATGACACTGCCACTGTTTCCTGGCCTGAGATGTCTGAGTGTGATAAGTTGAGAATGCCTCAGATTTAGGTTTTGCTCTGAGCCTTTCTCCCCAGGCTGACCTGGACTCTAAAGACAGTCAGAAATGCTATTTTTGGCAAGGCAGCCAGGATGTGCCTGGGGACAGACAAGCATGCTCATACTCCCTAGAAAAGGGTGCAAGTGCCTCTCAACAATGAAGGGAAGTGTGGCAGTAAGCCAGCTCTACCCTAAAAACCTTTAATATTTGCTAGAACACTTACTTTAACAGCTGTTAAAGCTGTTAGCAGCATTAACCTGATGGTAAATGCTCTAGTTTACGCTGCCATGCCAGCAAAAACCCCTCTAGTTTTGGCCAGTTGTATTTATCTTTTGAGCAGAAAGAGAAGCTCCACCAGGTGAAGGTTTGCATTTTTCCCACGTAAAGGTGCATTAGGCTCTCAGCAGAGGCATTTTGGGAGCATCCATCTGCCCCTTACTGTCACACTGAAAGGTCAGGCAGCCTGGGAGCTGCTTGCTCCTGTGGTTGTGGCTTTGCTGGGTTCATACAGTGCTTTGTGCCGTGGGTTTATCTGTGCCTGCAGTGTCCTTCGTACCTCTACTACCAATCTCAGGAGCTTTTAAATTTCTTGTAAGGGTTCTAGTTCTAGGTTTGGGTTTTTTTCCTAAGAAAGGAGTTATCTGATCAGTTAGTAAGACACAATGTCTTGTGCAGAAGCATCCTGTTCTCAGTTGTCCAGGCTAGAAGAAGATTGCTTAGAGCTGAGGTCGTAAAAGTACATGGAGCATTTTGTTCCCATTCAGATTTTTTCTGGTTTATTTATAACTTCAAGGGGTTGTTTTGTTTTTTTTCCTACTGTCTTAGTTCTACCCATTTGCAAATTACTCACTAAGAAGGAGAACAAACTAAATAACTGCCTAGTCAATAAAAATGACCACCTTCAGAATGACTGGGGCCCGTACCATCAGAAGGACATGGAGCTGCTGGAATGAGTCCAGAGGAGATTTTCCAAGGGCTGGAGCCAGGCTGGGAGAGCTGGGGGTCCTCACCTGGAGAGGAGAAGGCTCCAGGGAGAGCTCAGAGCCCCTTGCAGGGCCTAAAGAGGCTCAGGAGAGCTGGAGAGGGACTGAGGACAAGGGATGGAGGGACAGGACACAGGGAATGGCTTCCACTGCCAGAGGGCAGCGATGGATGGGATATTGGGAAGGATTTGTTCCCTGGCAGGGTGGGGAAGCCCTGGCACAGGGTGCCCAGAGCAGCTGTGGCTGCCCCTGGCAGTGCCCCAGGCCAGGATGGATGGGGCTTGGAGCACCCTGGGATGATGGAAGGTGTCCCTGCCCATGGCAGGGGTGGAATGGGATGAGCTTTAAGGTCACTCCCAAGCCAAAGCACTCTGGGATTCTGTGACTGTAAAACCATGCCCTGGTGCAGTAGAGGAATGCTCTGTTCTTGGCTCTGACGCAGCTCTTGGGTGAACAACTCATCCTGGGTGTGTTCTCTCTTTCCCATCAGCTACACTGTTGGGTCAGTGCAGGAGAACAATGACCAGGTGTGGAAGTTCCAGCGTTTTTTCCTGGTGCAGGAATACTGCAGTCGCCTGACCATCCCCTTCCCCTTTGTCATCTTTGCCTACATATTCATGGTGCTGAGAAAATGCTTCAAGTGCTGCTGCAGCAAAGAAAGCAAAGAGCCATCCATTTGCTGTGAGTTGGGTTTTTCCTTGTTGCCCACAAGTCATCTCTGCAGCAGGTGCATTGCAGTTCCTCCATGGCGTCCTGTGCTTATTCCAGGCATTTTGTGCTGTGCTGGGAAATTTCCAAGGGCCATGCAGACCTCTCTCATGCAAATCCACTGTGCTGCTGAAATCTCTTCAGTAAGATTCAAGTTTTCAAGTGAGATTTATCCAGTGCTCTCTTGTCCAAGCCATTTTGCTGTAGAATTGCCTTGTGTGTGTCAATCATTACGACTTCAGATTAATCCTGACTCTTCAGGGCTGCCTGTGCTGTTTCCCAGCTTTGCAAGGTGGTGGGTTTGGCTTTTTTGTAATTCATTCTGCTTGCTAGGGAGTGACTGAAAGAGAATAAACAGTTTCCATGTAGCCAAATGAGCAAACCACCTCAAAAATGTGGCAAGTCAGTTCTTGAGCTGTTTCTCCTTTAATTTCTCTGTCAGAGGACACAGATAGGAATTGTTTTAACAAGCTTTCCCCCACCTCTCCAGCAAATGTAGTGTTTTCTCAGCTGAGAGAGCATAAGTTGAGTTAATTGACAGGCTTGTTCCTATCCATCAGCAGCCTGCCTGTTGCCCTGCAGCAGAAGCTGGATTTGTTACCACTTCAGGAGGAAGAGCCTGCTTTGGGGTATAAAATTGCTTAGCACTAAATCATTTTGGCTGTCCAAATTGCTGTGTGGATTCCTTGCTGGGAAAGCTGTTGGATGGCAGATATTCCTGCTCAAACGATGCACAGTTGATGCTGCAGCTCTGAAAGAATGGGAGAGTTAATTAGAGCCAGAAAATGATGGTGGTTTTGCTGATGATAGGAACTGAGAACTGCATGGAGGAAGCACCTTGGTGTATTGACTGTCGTAAAATCCCGCCTTCCCCATTTAATTCTTATGGAAATGGTTGGGATTTGGGTGCTTAAATGCTTGTTGGAATGTGGGAGAACAGCTGAGTGGTGTGTGAGCTCAGAGGAGCACTGGGTGGGAGAAAGGGACTTCAGCCCTGGGCTTCTTTTGTCTCAGTTAATTTTATTTTTTTATTGAAACCCCTATGGTTTATGCTGTCCTCTTGGAACAGGATAAAATGCTGAAGTTATTACCCTGGAGGAAACGGATACCTCAAAGTTGGCTCCTCTGTATCAACTCTTGAATTTGCAGCACCACCACAAAATGCTTTTTAGAAAAGACAATTCTCCATCATTCTGGAGTGCTTCAGTTCAGTGAAAAATCCCACATCATGGTTCTTAGATGTGTTAGTCTTAATGATCCAGTATGGGATAATGTAGGAACAAATGGAAAGCTCAAACCCAGATGGGAACTTGCTAGAATGTCCTGTACCTGTTGGAGCAGAGGCACCTGTGTTAACCAAGACTCAGAGAAGTCCAGAAAGACTTTTGGAGCTTGTAAGGTTGGCAGGAGGGGTTTTGTGGTGGGAGGATTTTATGTTTGCTCCTATTTTGTATTTTTAGGTGACTCTGGTTGCCAGGAGCATTCAGTGCCAGGTGTTAGTGTCACATCTGTCAGAGCTGAGTCAGGGGTGGGCAGCGGGGCTGTGAGTGCTCAGGATGTGGAGCAGGGAATCATTAACCTCAGAATGCACACACTGACCCAGCCTTTTTGCACCTTGCCTTTGGAAAGACAAATTAAATGTTTTTTCTTCAAATACATTTCCCAGGCTCAAGAAATGAGGACAATGAAATCCTGGCATGGGAAGCTGTCATGAAGGAAAATTACCTCGTCAAAATCAATACAAAAGCAAATGATTCATCAGAAGAGTAAGGCTGCCATTTTTGTCTTCATTCTCTTAATTTTCTCTTGAACATTTCTAGTGAAGGCAAGTTTTCAGCAGCTCTGAATGTTTACAAACTAATGAGTAAGTAAACAAACTCAGCATAGAGACAGCAGGTTAAGAAGTGTAACTGTTGAATGGGATAATCTGGAACAACTTGATCAGCCTGGCCATTAGGGGCTGGCTCCTCCTTCCACAGAGTGGTTTTGCCCAAGAGAACTTAAAGCTGTGCCAAACATTCCCCAGTCAGCTCACTGTTTCCCTGGGAGAACTGAATATTCTCTTGACCTAAGTTCCATTTAGTCATGAATGACTTGCAACCACCTAATAAAATCTACAAGGATCACCAGTTCCTGGCTGGCTCTAGGATGTACTGGACTCCCTAAAAACTAGGCTGTAGAATAGTGGAATTCTGGAGGCCAATTGGTCCAGTGCTGCTCAAACAGTGCCAGCGCAGATCAAAGGCAGCTGCAGTGTGGCTGGAAAACAGGCTGTAATTAGATACAGTGGGGCAGCCTGGGACAAGGGGACAGCAGTTTATGATGGAGCTTGTGGAAAGGGATCTCTCATTATTGATGATAGTGCCTTCCGAAGAATCCTAGAATCCCAGAATGGTTTGGGTTGGAAGGGACCTTAAAGCTCATACAGCTCCACCCTCTGCCATGGACAGGGACACCCTCCCCTGGACAAGGCATCCAGTCGCCTGACTGACGTCGAGCGGATGAAAGCAAAGCTTGAGGCGGGCTGGGAGCTCTCCTCTGCAATCCTTTCTGTTGCTCACACAGGTACCAATTCATGGAGAATGACTGATTGCTCGGAGCTGGCAGTAACCCCCA